ATACAGACAGTGGAACCGTTTCGTGCTATGCATGAATTACCTACCACGCGAATTCCAACTCAGTCAAAATATCACAATCGGCAATAGGACACACTCGATAAAATTATAGATCAGACGACTATACCGGTATATAAAAAAAGGTTGCACCCATGCAGGTTTGATGTGAAGTTGTCGCAAAGAGATTTGTGCTTTTATGCATTAAGAGATATTTTGACTACTTTGTGTTACATCTATGTTGCTACTAAATGATGTGAATTGATAATTTACAAAAAAAAAAACAGAATTTTAATTATTAGGTTGTAATTTAACATGTTTAAATAACGAGTTATACAATTGACAATCGAGTGAGTAGTTATAATTTAATGTTTACATTACACATCACATCTTTAATATCACAGATACAGTTTAATTCACATCAACGATTATGAGTCAAAAAACAACACCAAAAAACCAGTGTTATATCTAATTTGCTAAAGTCGATAAACTATCAGCCAAAATACAAGTTATGTCGAAGAATCAACATTTACAGAAAAAGAAGGTGATAAACAAAATATCACAAATCCAGCCAAACACTTACACTCTTATTTCTCCAGTTCCTCAGACCATAAATATGTTTAGAAAATGAATTTGATGCAATTTAGGGTTCGTTGAAAAGTATACCTAAAAAGTCGGACCTGACAGAGATTGTCAGAAAACCTAAAAAAAATTAAGAAAGATATGATGTCAAAAGTCAAGTCAGAAGTCGGTAAACCAATAACCCAGTGCATTATCAAATTTCTCATCTACATGATAAGTTAAACACCATTGAGTTTGAAAACACAAATCTGCTAGAAAAAAAATAGTAGTCTACAATCTGATCTAAGGAAAACGAGGAATGTGGTTGATGAAAGTAACAAAAAAAAGTTACTGAAAGAGTTCGATTGTGTAACTTAAACGAAAAATACTCAAGGAAAAAGAATGAGAAAATATACCTATTAGCAGAGAATCGAAAAGAGGAATTACCACATTATCTTCTTAACGAACTTAAGACCAAAGTTAAAAATTAGACATCAACTCTTCTGAAATTGTTGTCAAGCATAGAATACCAGGGAAAGATGGGAGTAAAAGGCCAATCCTCATAAAGGTTAGAAAAAAGTAAAATAACAAACAAAAACCGAGCTCCAAATTCGACACGGAAATTCCCTTATCAAATGGCAAAATCAAAGGCTCAATTACATCAAACCAATGGTAAACAACTGTCATGTTCATGACTTGGTACAGAGATTTCCTTATGTTGAAAATGGTGGATTAAACCTGGTTTTATAGAAGAGAGGCAAGAGATACCAGAGGAACATTCAAACTCATAAGTCGAAAATAAACTAACAACACCATGGCTAAAAACGAAAAAGACCAACAGACAAACAATAGTACACAAAAAACAACATAGAAAACTAAAGACTGAGCAACACGAACCCTACCAAAAACTGGGGTTGATCTCAGGTGCTCCGGAAGGGTAAACATATCCTGCTCCACATGTGGCACCCATCGTGTTGCTCATGTAAATACAAACCCGGTAATAAGTCTAATTCGGTAGGTCACATTCGCGAAAAAGGGACGAGATTATTATTACGACATTATGAACCTATCCACTATCATATGGCGTCCGTAAAACTTACGAAGGGATGATTTCAACTTCACCACTTGGAACTCTTGGCTTAATAGCTTCCTTGTGAGCAGAAACCCTCTATCAAGGAAATCATGATAGGAAATACAAGCTCTGGAATATCGTATCAACTGGAAGATATACTCCGTAGGCAGTCGCTGCTGGAATGTTGCTACATAGAAATGGAAACTTCACAATTGGGAAGCTGAAATCATCTCTTTTGTGGTAAAGTTTTGTGTTCAACCGACCCTCATTTCAATTTATAGATGTAAGTCAAGATATGAGGCAGACTTAACTGTATCTGTTGTATTATTTATCTCAAGTTCGATGGGATAGATGCGTTCACATAGTCACCAAATTAGAATTATTTAGTGAGAGAACACCATCTATATAGCGGAAAGTAATGTTAAGGGATACTTTTTCTGGTCCTCAAAGTTTCCAAGAGCTGAAAAGTCTGATGAATTTTAACATCTATGTTTAACTTTAAATACTTTTAAAATAAGCGTACAGTAGTGTGTGATTTTATGTGGGCTATGGGTTAAATTATGATTTCCTCGATCTCCTATATTGGAGTTGAAAAATACACATTTTTCATTTGTTTGATCAATTTTTACCAGAGAATACTTTTTGTTCGAACGGTAACACTTTTTGTACAAACGGTAACCATACCGTTGAGGATAACCAGCGTTTCTTTTTTTATTTGCCTTTATTATAATGCTGTGGGACATATCTTACATGATTCCATTTACTGAATTGTTGATAATAATGTTGACAATGAATATTGACTTATTACTTTTTGGAAATAGATTATTTCCATACGATTTAAATGTTGCTATTTTAAAGTCTGTTTAGATATACATCAGTGACATTCATCGTTTGGTTTGAAAAATGTGAATTTTTTTATTTTCTTTTTAGGTCTTTTTTTTTATTTCATTTCTTCTTTTCATTTCGTTTATTCCACCTAGAAAGCTTGGTGTCTCCTCCAAACATCTATATACATTTTTTTGTATTTTTATTGTCTTATAAATGGTGTTGATATATAATACTTGTCACAAGGTACTTGAAAAAAATGACGATGATTAATTCTCTACGCACTTAAATATGATTACCACCTTGTAATTAACACGGTAAATATGTATTTGCTTGTGTATGCCAAGAAGTAGCATGCATTTTCCTCTGTACTTCTACACTTTTAAATACGATTGTTAATTAATGATGAATAACCTGTACATGTAATATGAAGAGAGCTTCCATAGGCTGTGCCTGTTACTTAATCATTTTCATCTCTTAGTAAAATATGTTTAAGATTGTTTTTTTTAAATATTTCTATAGTGCTGAACACTTCTGTTGAAGTGTTTCCCTCGGTTTGAGTTTGTTACCCGAATTTGTTTTTGCTTAATCGAATTATGACTATTGAACAGCGGTATACTACTGTTGCTTTTATTGTACTCGAAATATCTGTCTGATGGAAAATGACTGGATTTGTTTTGATTGATGGACTTAAATGTATTTTAATGTCAAAATGAAATATGTATGATCCCTATGGCCATGTAATTACAGGGAACCTCAACATCGTTCAAGATCGAGAGGTTATAAACTTTCTAAAAAAAGGACCAAAATATCGTCCACCGTCGAAAATAAATTGGGAAGAGTGTCGTCAGGTTATTAAAGATGCTCTTTCATCCTATTGTAAAAAAAGGTGTAAACGGGAGAACTCTGACAAAAAAGTCACTTGATTCCTATTTAAATAAATGTATGCATATTGTTGATATTCGCATATCACATTTCGAAAATAATTAAGAAATAAAAAAAGGAGTAACTAATACGCCTATTTCTAGGATTAAAAACAAAATTCAAGTATTATCAAAGCGGTTTGTGTTCGTACCTGCCGACAAAGCAGCCATCAATGTGGTGGTGGTATTACGTAAATACAACACGGAAGTCCTTAAGAATAAAATCGTACATGCAAATACATTAAAGGCAGTACGCTCCACAGAGAGTCATATAGTAAATAGTAAAAGTATCATGACACTACCACAGCTCAGTTTAAAGCCTCCTCGGAACATTTGAAGGTCCCCACTATGTATTGGTTACATAAACTACACGAAAAACCCGTAAAATATCGTTCCATCTCGGCCACTAGTAAGTGTTCTACTTCTAATCGTTGGGTGCTTTAAATAAGTTCCTTAACTACTATCAAAGAACTAATCGTGAATTTGTGTATTAAAACATATGAAAACAGTAGATTTAACCATTTTTGGAGTGTAAAAAAATTCTTTGGGTGTTTTAGATAAATAACGTGCTTTTGATTGTCCTTTTGACTCGGTTTTTACGTTTCCACTCTTAATACTACGCTTCCACACAATCTTATCAAACAAAAGTTATCCTATCTAATTAAATGGTCGTTTGATACATCTGGTTGCAAATATATTTGGTGGAACTCATATAAAGCCTTTTTTATCTAATGAGAAAGGTAAATATGCTAGATATACTTACTGGAGGTGTGATGAGATGATTAAAGTACTAAATTGTCTTCTTGACATCATTTGTGTACGTTTCGGTATACAGTTTATCGACAGATTGTAGGTATTCATATGGGTACCAATTGTTCCCCTTTAATAGCTGACTTGTTCCATTAATGTTATGAATTACAGTTTATGGCCAAACTCAGTACAGAAACGTCTAAATTCCATATAATTGATAAATTCAACAACACTTACCGTTATCTTGATGATATTTGTTCGTTAAATAATCAAGAGTTCTCTAACTATACTGCTGAGGTTTACCAAAAGGAACTTACTTTGAATAAACCTAATATCATAAGCAATAACTGCCCTTTCCTAGATTTAGATATTTCAGTATTACACCAGAAACTCTACACAAAAAATTTACGACAAAAAGGGACAATTTTTCGGTCTCCATTATCAATTTTCCCCTTTTTGGACAGTGATGTTCCCTTGGGACCGTCTTTCGGTGTTTATATATCCCATATACTATGCTCGTGTCTGTATTGACGTTTTGGATTTTAATGAACGTAATCCATGTATTACTAGTAAATTATTAAGTCAGGGATTTCGTAACCACAAACTAATTAAAACCTTTATATGCTTTACTAAATTGTTTCATAAAGATACAAAGATTTGGTCTGCAGGTCTGGCTGTAAAAAACTTATTTCAAACGGAATAGCACATCCTATATTTTACGGTGATGATGTAAACCGAGCCCGGAAATTTAGATACGATCCGGGTAAACTTATCAAATTGAATCCTTTAAATAAACTTGTTCTAAAAGGTTACATATTCAACAATGTAAATAAATCTTTGAATATTGTTTTATTGGTATAAATATTGATTCTGTTATCAGTAAATTAAAACTATACTAAATATTACACATATGTACTTTCACGGTACTACAATCTGTCGATACGTATAGTTTGACATTGTACAAGGTCATGTGTTTCTCTGACTGTTAATGACATATTTACACCTATCCATTGGATGTTTGATGTTTACTAATTGATATTTTAGTCTTAAATACATGATTTTTTTCATTAGTTGTTATTGGCTTTAAACTAGCTGTCAGTTACTGCGAGTGCTCTCAGATCTGTACTTAGTGTCTTTTTGTTTTTGGGAAGTATAAGTACCCGTCCACGTCCACTCTGTGTTTTTGTTAGATGTATTTCTGTTTGTATCTATATTATGAGTTAAGCCTTTTTCAACTGGTTTTTATAGTTTGTTCTTTTGTTGTACTGTTACACCACTGTCCCAGGTAAGGGAAGGGTTGAGCGCTCACAAACATGTTTAACCCGTCACATCCATTATGTGCCTGTCAGGAGCCTGTAGTTCAGTGATTGTCGTTGGTTCATGTCTGTCATATTTGATATCGTAAATTGTTTTGTTATACATTAGGCCGTTAGTTTTCTCAGTTGAATTGTTTCATATTTTCCAAGTCGGGGCCTTTTATAGACGACTTTACGGTATTGTTTTTTTTATTGTTGAAGGCAGTACGGTTGCCTATAAATGCTTACATGCACATCATTTGAACTTTGGTCGATAGTTGTTTCATTGGCAATCATACATGTACCACATCTCCTTATTTTTATATGGCAATTTTTATTATCAATTTAATTTCTGTGTTCTTTTTTGTCATTTGTGAAGTAAGTTCTTAAAAACACAATCTATAAATTTTGAATATTGTAATAAAATTTAAATATCAAGCCGGAAGATTTATTTACGGGCTTTAGTCACTAAAACCAATAGAAAGTCAGAAGGTCAAGGACAATATCTTAAATTAGAAAAAGTGAAAACATACATCAATTTTCATAAGGGACCATTTCTCACTTATCACAGCGATTTAATTGTAAACTTACCTATAAAACTCGTATTGTATAATGGTTTGTGGTACATGGTTTGTTTTATAAACGATATGTTGACATTTGTAATAATGCAAATGTATCTTGTATGTTTAAACGGGAAAGGTAAGGGAGAATAGTGTATAGTACATGGAGTATGGGCAGTAGTGTAAGATGCATGATGTATGGGCAATAGTGTATGGTGTAAAGGTTAATGGTGTTTGACGGACGGTGTAAGTGTGATACACCACTAAACACTGTAAGCATGTAAGATTTTTTCCCAGGCGAAACTTTTTAGTGTCTGTAATTGCTAAGCCATTATTTTCTTAGACAGAGAAGTTTTCTCTGTAATTCTAACACACGTGTTCTTATTTTTCCTATAATAAGTTCCATGTTCTGTTGGTAATATGTTTTGAACTCAAAACACTTGTTATCTGTAGAATTGTATTTAAACAGACTTTTTCGCTCGTTTTCATTGATATTCTTTAAGAATGGATAATCTGTTCTACACTTTCTATAGTGATGAAGGACGAGTTGTGTCACTGGAAAGATTGATCTGAAAAAGAACCGGACTTAAACAATTGAGACGGTTGGGAAACAAGAAAGGACAGAATAAATTACAAAAAGAGCAACATAGAATTGCTTATACAATGTCAAAAGTAATTGCAATTACGGAATCTACAATATACTACAAATAAAGCCAAAAAATTGAAAAAAAGTATGTCATAAGGGCGCAATCTCATATGATTTTGAATCGTCTTGATCAGTGCCTGATACACAAGTGAAATATTACGTTGAACTGTTGACCCTTCTGGTGGAACTGATTTATCCTCGGTTTTAATTTCTGTCTATTATTTTGGAAACCATAGTATTTTTTTTCCCTTTTTTTTCCTTTATGCATAGTCATGATAGTGTTGTATGTCTTTATCTTCTGATGATTTGTCTATTAATTCAGTTTAACAATACACGGGAGTTTAATGTACAAACCCTATAAAGCAATATTTCCTGGTTTCCGAAACTCTGAATAACGTTAATCATACATCTTAAATGCACAAAGATTAAAGTCTTATGTTACTCAAAAAAATATGTGTTATATACTTAAATGGCTAAGTTTAAATTCAAAATAAAATTATACGTTGAATTTCTAGTAAAAGAAAATACTATATCTTAACAAATCTTTAAAAATGTATTGCTATCAAACTAGTGCTTCCCTGTATTCTAATTTGCAGACATTATTCCATATGCAGTGACCTTGGCAACGAAACCTCTCGTTAGACTTTCTCGAGAGAAAACCGTGACGAAAGAGTGTAACAATATCATTTATATCACTGTTTAACCGTTAAGGAAAAGTTTAGTTTACAAAGGGGAACGCATGGAAAATATAAGAACAAATGAACATCGCTCTATCAATTCACTTCTCATTCACGTGGTCCTTGATTCTGTATTGATTGTTTATCAATTTCATTTACCGGTAAACGTTGGCAAGTAACTCGATGGTTAACTAGCTTGCGATCAACAATCACTATCACTGAATGAAATATTATTTGTCGATAATACGTTAAAAATTAGTAATAAATGTACAAAAAAAACATACCGTTTAGTTTATATGCATGTATTGGTTCAATAATTCCCATATCATTATAATACAAGAAACTCGTTTAATAAGACTTTAAACATATACAGTTGGGATTTTGAAACTTACAGGATCTGACAGGAGAATTGTTTTAAAACAGTTTGCGACAAAAGTAGTTTCATCTTAGAGAAGATTTAGAACAGATTCTGAAAGTTCTTCACTAGAAGAGATTTAGACACTTGTTACCCTATAACAGGTTATGATAGTTTCATCCTTACAACTGATTAACTATAACAATAAGATGTGGTATGATTTCCAATGAGACAACCCTCTACCAGAGACCAAATGACAGAGACGTTTATAACTATAAGTCACCGTACGACCTTCAACAATGAATAAAACCCATATTGCATAGTCAGCTATAAAAGACATCGAAATGACAAATGTAAAACATTTGAAACGAGAAAACTAACTGGATTTATGTACAACACAATGAACGAAAAACAGATATGATATACAGCAACAAACGAAAACCACTGAATTACAGGTTCCTCACAGGGGACAGGCACATACAAAATGTGGCGGTGCTAAACTAGTTTGCTGGCACTAAAACTCTCCCCAAACCTGGGACAGTGGTTTAACAGTACAACATAAGAACACACTCTAAAAATCAGGTGAAAAGACCTTAACTCATCAGATCGATACAAAAATGAATGATATTTTTTATAGAGTTGTAATAAATAAGATATACATCGAATTCATATCACAGTTTTGACAATAGATGACTCTTCAGTGAAAATCTAAAAACTCAAGGAGCTTTTAAACCAACAAAGGAAAAAAAGTATAGCCAAATCCGGGCAAGGAATGAGAGCTTTGCATGAGGGAGATTCATTTCTTAATTTAAAATAAATTACATTTTTTTTTAATAGCAAATATTAATAACACAATAACCGTATTTTGGTGCTAGTACCGAAGTAATTGTCACTGAGCTTGTAATACTCTTTTGGCCTCACAGTCCACTGGTTTAAATTAGGTCCTCTTTGATCAAATAGCTCTTCAACTGGTTAGGTTTTCACACATACTTGGCTTTTAAATATTCAATTTTGACGTTTCTGATGAATGTAAATCTAGGAAAGCGCTTCGACCGCATGGAACATGTTGATTTCATTTTTATTTTAAAAAAAATCAGTTTTCTATGTTACTTTTTGTTATACTCTCTATTCTTCGCACGTGATATCTAAGAAGGAACTTTATCCGATCAAAGTTTTATTAGACCTAAATATCGAAAATCATGTCACTCTCAACCAAAAATTAATCTTTCAGATTCAACGTACTCGCTTATTCTCATACTAAATTTTGCATACCTTTTATATTTTCCAACTGGTCTTATCGTGTGGACTTCAACTGATCCATATTTTGTTCGACTTGGCATATATATAAATTTTAATCTGTCGTTCACTGGTGCTGTGCTTAGTAAATATTTCCCTAGAAAAAGTTCACTCGATTCATTGCTAGGTTTCCACGATGTAATATGCATCTTGACCAAAGGCTGTACTCCTGCCAAATTATTTTCGAAGATTTTATTCTGAAACACATGTAACAATACGAAATTAATGTTTCTAAACAATTGTAAAAAAGTAAAACAAAAATATCGAAAAAACCGAACTCAAAGGAAAATTCAAAACGGATATCATTTGAGCTGCGTCGGATAGAAATCGACCTTATGCAAGTACACATATATATGTGCATGTATAAGACTTTGATTGATTTTGGAACATCCCAATACAAAATAAAAGATGGATTTTGGTCCCTTCTGTAGGGTTCTTATATCAGCTCGTTTTAAAAACAGTTACAGACTTTACATCAAGATTTTTTCTATCCGAAATAAGGTAACAGATGCATTGATATTTATTTGCATCAGGTCGATTTCTATCCGACGCAGCTCATTTATAAAATGCAAAATAAAAAACTCAAACACATCAAACGAATGGAAAACAACTGTCATATTCCTGACTTGGTACAGACATTTTCTTATGTTGAAAAATGTGGATTAAACCTTGTTTTATAGCTAGCTAAACCTCTTGTATGACAGTCACATAGAATTGTAAAGTAAATTTAAAAAGTCCATAAAAACTGACGATATCAAACGTTTTCAACCAATGGATATAGGGGAAAACAACTGTCGTATTTTTAACTTGGGAAAGACATTTTCAAGAAAATGGTGGAAAAAATCTGGTTTTATACATGTTATAGTTAGCTTAACCTCTCTTAACTGATTACTACTGACGTGATTATAGATTTGTTGATGATAGAATTTGATTTTTTCAATTGTTTGTTAACTCTAGTCCATCATAGATAAATAATGGTATTGTACAATCCAACAGACGTGGACCAATTTTAGATTCCAAGGGTCCATACCAGGAAGTTGTCGTATATCAATACAGGAAACTGAATACACGAATATTCACATACTTGTTTTCCATGTAACATCAGTGCACACAACGTATTTACAGAACAGTAATCATAGCTACATATATTTACCCGCCTCTTCCCGTACATCGAGTGCGGGGTGAACCGGTGCGTTACATGGTTTTTTTCTTTTTCTCCCCCTTTTTGTGGTCAAAATTAACCCTTATAAAAACATGTAACCGTAGAAACGTTTGGACTGAAGAAAAATAGAATAATTTGCAAAATAAACAAGTTGTATCATAACAATGAAATCTGTTATTTGATATTATTCACTCTATATACAGTTTGTATGTTGACAAGTAAACTAAATTGATGACCATTGTTGTCAAAATAAATTTGCACGACATAATCTTAATCTTGATCCATGAATATTTCTTAGTAACGATAACACGACTAGTACGTGTCTCTAGTGAATAAATTTGAAAAAAAGACTTTAAAAGTCGGATTTCCCGTACAAAATGCACGTCTAGCTATGAAAGTATTGAAACTTAATTACTCATAAGAAATGATGACTTTTGATACCAAACACCACATAAAAGTAGCAAATAAAACAATTTAAAGCATTTTACAACATACAACAAATGCGTTTGGAAGCAATAAAGAGTAAGTCTTCATGTGTAACACCACCGTAAAAATTACGCGAAAGACGACAAAAGACAACAATAGTAATTAAAATTTCGCTTGCATTTTACATGGGATATGATTAATTTTCGTAATAAGCTAACAAAATCAATGACCGAGTGCTGTAGGAAGTTAATCTACTGTACCAATCGCCTGTCAACACTGGTGCATTCGATTCCAATCTTAATGACTATTATTGCAAGTTTTCCTGCCGAAGGTCGGCGGTTATATCAGGGCACTCCGGCTTCATCCGCCAAAGAAAACTGGGCATTACTATATAGTCAATAGTGCTGAAAGTGTCGTTAACACCAACAATCAATCATCAGCAAAATCTATGTATAATAAAACCACAAACCACTACTAAAACAGCGATCAATTGTTTTAAATGTTTGTATTCGGGCATTTCCTGCTACATATCCTAATGTTATTCCTTCTTTTCCCGTTTACAGGAATAGATTTTTATTTTCATGTTCGTGTTACACTTTGACTTACGATTAACATATGCACAATATGACCGCCAGTCAAATATATGTAGTATATAATGTATTCTCTAAAGGGTGAATTATTTGCATTTGAATGCGATATAGACTTGATACAGCCAATATGTTGGTAATTTGTTTAAACCGTCAGGAATTCAAATGGGTAAGGGTCAAACTTGATGCAAAGGTATTTTGTTTACATTGGTAATTACTTAACATTTGTCTACATATAAGAATATTGTTTTTATAAAAGGTAAACATTTTCACATTCTACTATCTTTTTAATTGTTTTTCAGCTTATAATCGTACAGCACAAAACAATCGACATGTTTGTATTATTATATTTATCAAAGCAAAATTTGATTCTATACACTTTTTCAATGCCTGGAAATCGACTTCTTTTGTATTATGATATTTATCGAAGCAGTATTGGATTTTATATAATTTCGCAATGCATGCATATATTTATTGTCTTTATAACGTTTATATAATATTTATGTTTATATCATGTATATAGTCCAAAATGCAGTTCATACTGGGACATAGTCTGATAAATCATCAGCATCCCCTATGTCTGATATTGGATGTCAGGCATTTATTAGGGGTTCATAAACCATGGATTGCTAAGGAAGTGAAAAATTGCTACCTGCTGGGCCAATTAACAGGTGGTCATCAAGGTGTTTAGTTTTACTGCAACAATTTAAGTTGACAATTTTGTTTCATATTTTGCACCTGCAAAGGTTCGTGTTTACCTTTGTTTTACCGGTGAACTTTCGATAGGAAAAATCAATACAACAAGAAATGAAAAACAAAATGTATCTTTTGTATACTCATAGAAAATATTAATTAATTTGCACATTTTCAAAAATTATATTAGCTTAATCATATGTAAATGCTATCTTAATTAATTACTATCAAAATGATAAAAATTATTATTAATTAGATTAAATTAATTTTGTAATTTATTTCAAATAAAAGTTCTCAGGTTAAAGGTTATAAGAAAAATAACCAAATGTCATAATATAAAGTCAAACTCGGACTTCTCTTGAACTGAATTTTAATGTGCGTATTGTTATGCGTTTACTTTTCTACATTGGCTAGAGGTATAGGGGGAGGGTTGAGATCTCGTAAACATGTTTAACCCCGCCGCATTTTTGCGCCTGTCCCAAGTCAGGAGCCTCTAGCCTTTGTTAGTCTTGTATAATTTTTAATTTTAGTTTCTTGTGTACAATTTGGAGTTTAGTATGGCGTTCATTATCACTGAACTAGTATATATAATTGTTTAGGGGCCAGCTGAAGGACGCCTCCGGGTGCGGGAATTTCTCGCTGCATTGAAGACCCATTGGTGGACTTCGGCTTTTGTCTGCTCTATGGTCGGGTTGTTGTCTCTTTGACACATTCCCCATTTCCAATCTCAATTTTAAAAGTCAGAAAAAAAGGGCTTGTATTATATTTGCCTTCGGGTTTATATGATCCGTTCATCCTATTTTGACTCCTCAAAATTCAAGAGTCTATCCTAAATTGAGGTAAATTATGTGGCCTTCCAATTACCGTTTCGATTCCTAACATCACTGAAGAGACATTAATTGTCGAAATCCGGATATGGTGTACAAATTTTTGCACCTCATGTTTGCGGTATACCATCTTTTCCGCGAGTTTATTGTTTTCTGTTTGGTATTAAATTTATAGTTTAGATCCATTTATTACACCTTGTGATCCGTTTATTTGGCAATCACCAATGGCAGTCAGCAGGGTTTAAGAACATTTGTTGTTCGACCTGTTAGTCAAATATACTTTTTCACAATTTGTGGTCTTTTATATATATATATATATATATATATATATATATATATATATATATAACTCGTCTAAACATCAGCCCAACAATGTTTGTTCTTCCCTCGCCGGGATTCGAACTCATGCTACTGAGATATCGTGACATCAAATCGCCTGCACTGTATCCGACGCGCTAGACCACTCCACCACCTAGGCTTTACAATTATAAAGCTTTCGGTGGCCGGGTTACATTTCCTCGTCAGTTTTAATCTAGCGTCGTTATACAGTACATGACATATAAAGCATGAAGATGGAATTGTTACAGATCAGCTGAAATATCTATTGTAAAGGATCCTACAAATTAATGCAAGATACAATCGCAGAAATAATTATATTTATAAGTACGTCTGAACCAATGACAACTCTACAACAGATTTATCCATCGGATCAACAGCAGTGATGGTGATACATGGCTGTGTACATTTGGTATATTCAACTCGTCTAAACATCAGCCCAACAATGTTAGATCTGTAAATTTGCTTTCGAATCGCCTGCACTGTATCCGACGCGCTAGACCACTCAACCACCTAGGCTTCACAATTATAAAGTTGTCGATGGCCGGGTGTTACCTTTCCTCGCCTGTTAGTGTAGTATTGTCAATTTTGATGATTAAAATCAATCGACCATCTTTTATCGGTATTGTTACACAATCTTTTAGACTCATATATATATATTGATTAAAATCAATCGACCATCTATTTATCGGTATTGTTACACAATCTTTTAGACTCATATATATAAAAGATTGTGTAACAATACCGATAAATAGATGGTCGATTGATTTTAATCATCAAAATTGACAATACTACACTAACAGGGAAAATTATATGAGTCTAAAAGATTGTGTAACAATACCGATAAATAGATGGAAAACAAAACACTAAAAAGTGTTGAATATCATCGCACAAAGATGGAAAAACTGAACAGATGATATAAATGCAAATATTTCGGCTCAACAAATGGCCTTCCTCAGTGTTAAAAGTTTTCACAATACTGATATATAATGTATAAGGTGTAAACATAGATCAGTAATAATACAGGTAAGTTTTGGTCGATTGATTTTAATCATCAAAATTGACAATACTACACAAACAGGGAAAATTATATGAGTCTAAAAGATTGTGTAACAATACCGATAAATAGATGGAAAACAAAACACTAAAAAGTGTTGAATATCATCGCACAAAGATGGACCAAAACTTACCTGTATTATTACTGATCTATGTTTACACCTTATACATTATATATCAGTATTGTTAAAACTTTTAACACTGAGGAAGGCCATTTGTTGAGCCGAAATATTTGCAATTATTGTATAATTTATATCATCTGTTCAGTTTTTCCATCTTTGTGCGATGATATTCAACACTTTTTAGTGTTTTGTTTTCCATCTATTTATCGGTATTGTTACACAATCTTTTAGACTCATATAATTTTCCCTGTTTGTGTAGTATTGTCAATTTTGATGATCCAATACCTACTAAGTTTACTGGTTGGTAGATTCTTATAGACTCTATCTATATATATATATATATATATACATAATATATTAAGACAAGTGAAACAATGATAATGATTAATATCAATTTTTGGTGAGAAACAACTTATGAATTAAGTTTTCTGGCAAGCCTTGCTCTTATATCTTGGCCTCCCTATTGCGACATGTTTCAAAGCAACAACAAAAAAGTATGTTTTTAAATTTATATCCCATACAGTTCAAATGGGGTAAACAAGTCAGCCCATTGAAAAATTAATAAAGGCGTCTCTATATTATATGGTGTGAAGCGAGGGAGTAGGATCTCCGAACTTTTCCAATTGACGATTGCACAAGGAAGCTATTAAACCAAGTGTTCCAAGTGGTGAAGTGAAGTTGAAATCATTCCTTCGTAAATTTTACGGACGCCATTACGAGTTGGTTGACCGTTATGGAATATCTGTTTCACAGATGACGACGAATATGTTCCAATTGTCGTAACTACAATCTCGTTCTCTTCCTACGAATGTGACCTACCGAATTAAACATATCCCCGGTTTTGTACTCACATAAGCAACACGACTGGAGCACCTGAGATCACTCCCAGTTTTTGGTAGGTTTCGTGTTGCTCAGTCTTTGGTTATCTATGTTGTTTTGTGTACTGTTGTTTGCCGGTTTGTCTTTTCCCTTTTTAGCCATGGCGTTGTCAGTTTATTTTCGGCTTTGTATGCACATGGTTTCAATAATTGATAAATTGATGATGTCCACAATGAATAAGACTTTCATATCATAAAAAAATCGTACACTTTAAATAGAAACGAGCTTTTTTATTTTGTTTTGATTATCTTTATTGGTTCTTACACACTTATTATGTAAACATTTAGATGGCACCCTTTGTCTATCAAGTTACCACAAATGTGAAAAGTTTTCATATTTGTCGGGATTTATGTTTAAATTGTTAGTAACCAACAAAGTATTCGACATTAATTCAACATTTATTTCAACTTTTGCAACAAACAAGGGATAAAAGTAAATGTTTTAGGTTCTTATTTGTTTGGAATCATGGCTCGCATCGTAAAATAATAACCAAAAATATTCAAACTGAAATTTAATATCTTTAATGCAATTATCAACGACAGGGTAAAATACAACAGACCCTGTTAAACGCCAAGACAGATGTCATTACCATCATCATCTTTACATTTGACCGAATCTAATTCCCAACTATTTTACGTAGGAATCAAGCTAAGAATCTTGCAAGGAGTGATATGTAGGACATTTATCTGCTATAGTTAAATTGATTCAACTTGAGGCAGAATTTGTATAAATGGCAATTAGCACACAGACATTCACGCTATTGCTTTTGAAAAATCTCTACCTAGCAACACGGTGTTTAATGGCCTGCAAACCATACATTTGTAGTGTGTTTCTATTCAAAATAAGATAATAATGATGGAAGGTTTAGAAAATGTATACTAGATCTTACAATCTATAATGTTCAACTTAAAAAGATAACATTTGAAAAGATGGATACAAGCAAGGAAACTTGATTACCATAACAACTAAATTATCAAATATTTTCATGTTGGAGAAATGTTAAAATTGGGAATTTTCAAATTGTATTATCTCTCCAAACCAGGGTGATCGAATTGGCGTATTTGGTCATACTATTGCAGTTAACTCTTGTTTAAAACCTATCAAAAATAAAAAAATATGTAGCCTAGTACAGAATATTGTAAATAAGTTAATAATGTCTTAATGTTTTTTACAATATTTATGCATTATTTTTTCAATAATCATATAAATAAGCTTTCTGTAGACAACCTTTTTCACTTTTTTGTTGAAGTACTGATTAAATGTGAACAATGCTATTATACAATTTTAAAAGATAGGCTTTTGAATTTTTAAGCAATGGCATAGATAATTTTTTTGAAAATGGTCTGTTAAAGATTAATTTGATCCGTTTTTCTATCAGCTTGTTTAAAAAATCAATCTTGAGATTGATGCAGAAACATATCTAAGTAGGATGATAAAGGGGGTGCAACTGTAAAAAAAATTGTTTGTACCTCAAAATGAAAATAACGTCACGTCATTTGTTGACTTTCAATTGTTCAGGTTTTGGTGTTCACTTTTGAAAATATTGCCCAGAATGCATTACATTCTGAAAAGGCGAATAGCTTTTGGCTATTACATTAAGATTCCTTTTGGTCATATAACGGATCACGTGTTTCGGTACTTGTACACCCTTGACTTTCAAATATTTGGCTTTACGTGTTTCTGATAATGGCATATTGAACGCATAAATATACAATAAATGTACATTCAAACGTGTTGAACCCCGCCACATTCTATGTGTACCTGTACCAAACCAGGAGCCTGTAAATAAGAGGTTGTCGTTGGGTCATGTTGTTCCTTTTTTATTTTTTCGTAAACTATTTATTTGCAAATTAGGCCTTTAGTTTTTCTCAATTGAATTGTTTCATATTTATCATGTCAGGGTCTTTCATAGCCGACTATACGGTATGTTTTTTTTACTCATTGTTAAAGGCCGTACTATTGCCTATAATTGCGTACATCCACTTCCGTTTAATTTTGAATGGTAGTTGTCACATTAGCAATCATACCACATCTATTTATTTTCATATTGTCGGAAAATATAAAATGTATTTGTATATTGTTGTACGAGCTTTAGAAACAGGACGGAAAGTTAGGCTCACCGAGAGTTTCTGCTGTTTTGAAGCGAGTAAAAATAAATGTTAGATTTCCAACAATGTACATATATTGTTTTATTCTGCAATTTTTACTCGTCACTTAAAGTTGTAGTTATTTCAATAAAAATAAATATCTCTGAATTTTTCAAAGAAATCGACATAATTTAAAAGCGGACCGCGAAGAGGACCTTATAATGAAATTTCATGAAAATTCACGAAGTGCTGTTACCATTTCTTACGAAAAAGCAGGTTGTCATGAGGAATTCAAGAAATTTAAAAGAAACACTTAAGCGTGTCAAAAGAAATTGCGGAAAGGCAGAAAGAACATTTTTAGAAACTGGGGCTTTCAACTGCAGATGGGATAATACTGAAACAATAACAAGGAATGGTTGTATTTGCTATTTTAGAATTAACTTCAACTGTCGTAATTTGAATATGTTATGATATTTTCTTCAGTAAGTGGCACACGAAAAAATTTATAAGAGAAAGATTAAGAAAATTAAATATTTTTGGCTTTAAATGTCGACATAACATAAAGACCTCTTCATGAAACACGTATCGTCGTTTCGAAAATGGGTAACATTATATTTGGTATATACTCACTAACATCTGTTTCAATGAGAACCCATACTTTGTAACATTTGGTACAAACAATTCATCCTTGTCAAGTACTGCAACATATTTGTAGCCATACAAACGGGACTGACAGTCATGCATAATAACTTGTAGATCAACCCAGGCGGGGTACGATGTGTCTCCGGCGGCTCGCGGGATTTCTTCTACAAGAAAGGTTTAAAACCATGAATGCTAACATGTATTAAAAATGTGACAATATAATCGAATATAACTTATAAACATAATAAAAACAGTTGAAATCAATTCAGTAGCTGAATTGTTCGTCTAAATATAGAAAAACAAAATAAATAAAAAACATATTTACATAAGACAAATGGTCCGTGTAGCACTTATCAATTCAAAATTTAAAATAGTTTTCAAATTTTAGATTTTTTGGAATTTTGATCAAAGTTTTAAAATATCACAATTTCAAATTTTTAAAAAAATTAAAAATTTTTTCACCAAATAATTAAAATTTTAAAATTCTAAATATCGTTTTTAAATTTGATAGTTTAGATATTTGATCAAACTTTAAATGTACTAAACTTAACGTGCAGTTTTGATTATTTCGCTTTTTGAAAGTTTGATTTTTGACATTTTTGATTAACATATCAAAAATAGAAAAGGGGAGAAAAGAGGGGTACCTGTTAACACGGCTCTGATTATGATCATTTTTAGTAAGGAATAAAAAAGCACGAAGTATATCAAATCAGTTTTAATTACAAAGTAAACAATTTAAAGAAGAATTATGATTTTTATAAATCATATTAGACATCACAGTATCCTGAAATTTTTTATGTTGTGCATCTATTAAAAAAAAATTTAACCTATTTAAACTGGCATCAAACAAGTTGATTTACTTTTTTAAAAAAACTCTATTATCTTGTGTCCCCAGCGCCCAACATTTGGGAGTAACAGTGAAAACCGACCAACTCGCATTTAGCCAAATAGTAATATTTGACGTTTGAGCGTTCTGATGAAGGTAGATCCAAAAAAAGCGCTTCGGTCGCAATCAATTTTTAACGTTTTGTTTTCATTTTTTATCGATTGCATGACGATAATATATTGCCTTTTATGATTGATTTCAGTTCCAATAGATATAAGAAGATGTGGTATGAGTGCCAATGAGACAACTCTCTATCCAATTCACAATTTATAAAAGTAAACCGTTATAGGTCAAAGTATGGTCTTCAACATGGAGCCTTGACTCACACCGAACAGCAAGCTATAAAGGGCCCATAAAATTACTAGTTTTAAACCATTCAAACGGGAAAAACATCTGTCTAATCTATATAAAAACGAGAAACGAGAAAAACTTATCTGAAACAATAGTGTAACATCACAACATAGAAATACACAAGTATTGATAAAGACGGAATACTGAATTTATGGTGTCGCAATGTAAGTTGTGATAGGCGTGCTTCAGCTCCCCCCTAGACAAAATGTGTACCAGTTCAGTGATAACGGACGTCATACTAAACTCCGAAATATAACAATGAACTTAAATTAAAATCATACAAGACTAAAAAGGCCAGAGGCCCATGAATTGTGACAGGCGCACAAATGGGCGGGGTTAAACATGTTTTGTGAGATCTCAACCCTCCCCTTTAACCTAACAATGTAGAAAAAAACAAACACACAGCAATACGCACAGTAAAACGCACTTTACAAGAAGTCCGAGTCCTACGTCAGAAAAGGAAACAAAATAAACTAATCAAAATGACAATGATATATAAATTAATAAAGGACTACTAGCAGTTACTGACATACCAGCTTCAGACCTCAATTAAACTAATTGAAAGATTATGTCTTCATCATATGAATATCAAGCACAATCTCTTCCTGTTGTATTTATTGCTAATTTGTTATCATTTTAAACATGCATGAAATATATGCCACTGGCAACCAATAATCGATCATTTAAAATAGTTCGTTTACATACAAATTACAAAGAAACTCAGGTTTCAACTGCCTCGGGCAAAGTAGCCCTTAGATGGATTTTGATATGACCAAACACCTTTTCAATTGCTTCGGTTCTTATATTTACTTGACTTTCAAATATTCAGTTTTAGCGTTCTGTAGGTGAATGTTTTAATTAAAATTCAGCGTTTTACATTGTCCTGGTTTTTCGAGAGCAACATTGGTGTATGGCCAAAAATTAAAAATCCATCATGCAGACATCGTGGCACTCTCTTTACACGCCCCATTCTTACTGGACAGGTACTGTCTTCTTTTACTTTGCTGAAAGTTGATTGTTGAACGATAACTTATAAATGCACAAATAACAAATACGGAACTATCCCTTAATACAAAAAAATCCCGTTTCCTTTTATTTGCTATTTAAAAAAGTTGCGGATTGAGGACCACTAATCGAGCTACGTATATGATAAATGCATATACTTTTTACAAGCATCAGTCCAAACATGGACTACAAAATAACCATTTAACTTCAAAAGTGGGAGTATGGTTGTTTTGTCGAGGTGAGAATTTTTATTTCGCGCTAAGCGCGAACTATTTATTAAGTTTTTCAACGTAATTAATCAAATTATTTGGTTCATAAGTTAACACTATATGGCATGGGGAAAATCTGGGTACAGAATTTTTTTTTTTTTTTGTCCTCTGCTTGTACAGAATATTTTTTCCCCATCAAATTGGGGATCAGAATATTTGTTTAGGAAAAAGACATACCTCCCTTTGAAGTTAAATGATCGTTCCCTCACTAGGCCCCCACCTTTTCAAATTCATTGATCCGCACCTGAAAAATGTACCATTATTTTGGGAGGTCAAATATAGTGTCACCTTAGTGACAATATTTATATTTCGGATTCCCAAATAGATTACAATTTATCGCTGTTATAAACTTTTAAAAATTAATTTCAATTTTTAAAATGCCGACATCTACAAATGGATAGATGAACGCTTAATGTACAGCGGCAACTATTACATAAGTATGCAGGCTGAAAATAATGTAAATGGTATACGTTTATATGATATGAATGTGTTCAGCTTTTACAAAACCTTCTAGCGATGAGATTGATGTTAACGTTTACTTGTTTTGGCCTTTTTAATTTTATTTGACTGTATTGGCTTTGAAAGCTGTGGTCACACCTTACCGGGAAGCTCGAAAGGACGCCAAACGGATGAAAAAAAAATTTTCCGTTGACAAAATTTTTATCCGTGGGGAGTCCGTTAGTGTGCTGACCGAATAAAACGGACGCATAACGAATGACTAACAGACACACACAGGATATGCAACGTACGAGAAACTGTAACGTACCGGAAAGAACGGATGTCGTACATCCAACGGAAAAGTACCGCATAAAACGGACACCGAACGGAAGCGTACCGGAGAAAACGGATGAACAAGATAAGCCGAAAATTAAAGGCAGCAATAATAATACATGTAAATCACATAATCACGTATGTCAGGAATATGACAGTTGTTATCCATTCGTTTAATGTTTTTGAGCTTTTGAATTTACTAGATTAGGGAATTTCCTTTTTGAATTTTCCTCAGAGTCCAGTAATTTTGTGATTTTACTTTTTATACACGAGACCTTAAAATAATTTAAAAAGTCGTGCAACTGGTTTTAGTTTATTCATCAAAATGCCACCAAAGGGTAGGGGTGGAAGAGGAAGGGGAAAAATGTCAGATCCATCATGAATAACAAACATTCAAGAAATCTGACATACCAATAGTTGGCATTTCTAACGAGAAATTTTTATTGGCATTTTATTTTTTTTACATTCGGTACGAGTCCGTTTTTATCGTTATCCTTCCGTTCATGTCCGTTTAACATCCGTTCATCATCCGTTTTACTACCGGTAGAAGTCCGTTGGTGAATTTGTCTACCGGTCCTCCAACGGATATATAACGGACAAGTAACGGATACAAAACGGAAAGGGAACGGACGAGAACCGTAAAAAACAGAAGACTACCGGACGTTCAACGGACACTTCATGCGTTGGACGTCCGTTCAAAGTTTTGAACATGCTAAAAATTTTCCACCTGACAGAACGAACTTCGACGGAGAAAACGGACATAAAACGGATATGGACGGACGTCTAACGGATAAGAACGGACTTCTAACGGACATGAACGGATTGAAAAAAGTTTTCCGTTCGGCGTCCGTTCGCGCTATCTGATAAGGTGTGACCAGGGCTTAAAGAACTGAAATAGTTGATTAAAAGGTTAAGGATGATCGTTCAAAATGTACAAGCAATGATTTCATCTGCCGACATGATTGCAGAAAGTAAGAAGTCGTAGAGCAAAACAGAAAAATTTGAAATCAAATATGAGATAACACAACGTGTATTGAGCCATTTTATTGCTTATAGTTCAGTAAAAAATATATATATACATACTAAACCTAACTATACTATTTGACCTACTACGAGTTGGTCAATTTGCACTGTTACTCCTAAATGATGGGCGCTTGGTAAACCACATAGTTCTGAATTATTTATCTGAAACGCTATAAAGCTTATGTTAGAGATTTTCAAAACGTAAATCAACTTGTTTGATGCCAGTTTAGATAGGTTTACATTTTTTTTTTCAGTAGATGCAAAACCTTAAAATTTTCAGGATACTGTTATCTCATGTGATGTCCAATTTGTTTAAAAAAAATTTCTTTAGATTATTTATTTTACACTAAAAAATGATTTGCTATATTTCGTGCTTTCTTTTCTAAGGTTAGAATCATCATAATCAGAGCCACGCGTCTTGTTTTAAAATTAATTCTCTTCTTTTGAGAAATATTTATTTTGTTATCCAATTTTTAACCGCTTTCAACTGTCTGCCTCTGGTTTTATTTTATACATTAACTTTTAAGTAAAACTTTTCACTTCATTTTGTTTCGCTTCTTTCCGCTTTTATTTCGTTTCGCAGTTTACAGGTATACTTCGTGCTTTTTATTCCTAACTAAGAATGATCATAATCAGAGCCGTGTTTACAGGTACCCCTCTTTTCGCCCCTTTTCTATTTTTGATATCTTAATCAAAAATTGAAAAAATCAAACTTTCAAAAAGCGAAATAATAAAAACTGCTTGTTAGGTTTAGTACTTTTAAAGTTTGATCAAATTTCTAAACTATCAAATTTAAAAACGATATTTAGAATTTTAAAATTTTAATTATTTGGTGAAAATTTCAAAATTTGAACACTTTGATCAAAATTCCAAAAATCTAAAATTTGAAAACTTTTTAAAACTTTGAATTGATAAGTGTTACACGGACCACAAATGTACAAACATTAATCTTTGAGAATATTATGAAACTTTTATTGACATTTTGAATACATTTTATCGTAAATATCAAAATAAATACCATAATAAACTACGACTTATATCGGCTTGTTGGTATTAAACCAAATTGGCCCTTTCAGAAAATGTCATATAAACAGGACAATGTAAACAAAGCATGTTTTTTTATACTTTTTATATCAACAAGATGATAGAATACCTTTTTGCGGAAAATCGAAGTCTCGAATAATTTCTGCATAACCAATAGACTCATAATATTCTAAAACAAGCATTGCTTGCATATTTAGTTTATAAGTGTATGTAAGTACTTTGTCGACACCGAGTAACCGTTGGACCTCAAACCACTCCAAAATCACCTTAGCATCCATATTCCCATAACTAATTTTACTACAGACAGCTAATCCTGATTCATTTTTCACCGGAACTTCAATCTTTATGTAATATTCCTCATGTCCCGAACAATGTTGTGGTCCTTCAGATACAGACACTTTCCTGATAGAGGAAACATTCACTGGACACATATACTGAACAGAATGAAGTAGTCCCCTATTTAAAAAGGTTGCTCTTTTCCTTGTTGAGTTTATGTAAAACTGTGTGTTGTCTTCTCTGAAGAAACAACATGTGAAATTAATCTTGTCTAGTAACACTTTCTTTTCCCATCCGTTAACTATTACAACTTTTCCTCTCCCATCAAATTCATGTGTTATATCTTCTATCAAAATTGCAGAATACATGTATACGTTCGAACTGACTGCTTGTTTGTATGGATTTGATTTGTGATTGTTGATTTTATCCTGTAGAGCTGAAATCGCTGGCTCTGGGTATGGATTTGGATTTTCAATCAATGTGTCTCTAATCACATTAGTCTTCTGTAAGGTTTTTAGCTCTTGTTTCTTAGCACAGTAGTAATTTTGTTTATCAAACAAAATAATCCCATTCAAGAGAATTACAATGAAACATATAACAGCAATTGTTTGCAGCCTTAAACGACGTAATTTAGCTATTTGGAATATCATGCCTACAACAAAAATATATGAAAATTACAATCTATAAAAGAGGGGCGAAAGATACCAAAGGGACATTCAAACTCATAAATCGAAAATAAACTGACAAGGCCATGGCTAAAAAAGAAAAAAGACCAACAGACAAACAATAGTACACAAAACACAACATAGAAAACTAAAGACTGAGCAACACAACCACCATCAAAAACTAGGGATGATCTCAGGTGCTCCGGAAGGGTAGGCATATCCTGCTCCACTGCATTGTGTGTTTTCGGAGATCGTTTATGGATGATTTCGGTTGAAAATAAAACTTTACGACAAAAGAGATGATTTCAGCTTCCCAATTGTGAACTTTCCATTTCTATGTAGCAACATTCCAGCAGCGCCTGCATACGGAGTATATATCTCCCAATTGATACGATATTCCTGGGCTGCTTGTATTTCCTATCATGATTTCCTTGATAGAGGATTGCTGCTCACAAGGAAGCTATTAAACCAAGAGTTCCAAATGGTGAAGTTGAAATCATCCCTTCGTACATTTTACGGACGCCATCACGAGTTGGTTGACCGTTATGGAATAACCGTTTCACAGATGATATCGGATATGTTCCTTATGTCGTAACTACAATACCCTTACCTTTTCACGAATGTGACCTACCGAATTAGACTATTTACCGGATTTGTAATAACATAAGCAACACGAAGGGTGCCACATGTGGAGCAGGATCTGCTTACCTTTCCGGAGCACCTGAGAAAACCCCTAATTTTTGGTGGGGTTCGTGTTGCTTAGTCTTTAGTTTTCTATGTTGTGTCATCTGTACTATTATTTGTCTGTTTATCTTTTTATTTTTGGCCATGGCGTTGTCAGTTTGTTTTCGATCTATGAGTTTGACTGTCCCTCTGGTATCTTTCGTCCCTCTTTTACCTTCATCAGGAATACTCAATTCTTGTCCATATTGATTACGAAAATTGATAGCTAAGCAAACGGATCAAGGCTATCAAATTAATTGCTATTACGATAAAATTGCGTTGTTTTTTCGTTTCATTCAGTTTGGAAGCAACCTTAACATACACGACAAAAATATTAAGCGCAATTGTTATAAGTTTGCATTGAAAATAATTTCAGGTCAAAAAAGTAAACTTACCTGAAAAGTGTATCTTCCTTTTGGTTTTACGAATTTGAAAATAAAATTAATAATTAAAAATATTGTTTTCAGTCGAATACAAATGCATACAATGAACCCGATTTGCTAAACAATCTTTAAAGTACGATTTTGTCCGCATATCTATGTATATTTTTCAATCAGATCGAAAGTCTATTTGTTTTTCAATATTGCTATGCTTTATGTCGCAGATGGATCTGCGATAAAGATCAACAGTTATAGTAAGGTATATGTACGGTAATGAGATTATTTACTATAATTGTTGATATTACTGAAATATATAACTTTTTAAGTGAAGCCGATATAAGGGTAATCAGTACTTTTTTTGTTATCCACACTTTTAAACTTGACGTAGATTGATAAAGAAAAAGCAATAACAGGATGTAGCTACACAAATGAAACTCAAACTCATGATTTTCCATTCTACAATATATATATATATGATTTACTATAAAACCCGATCTACAAAAAAACCAACTAAAATAGAACATGAAAAAAACTAGATATCCTGTTTTCTGACATTAAGGACAGAATTCTGAAAATATTAATTAACAAAAAATATTAATAAAACTACATACGTTCATACTTCTTTCATTTTTTCACACATTTAAATGATTTGAAATTCGTTAGGAATATTTTAACATGATTTATTTGTGGACCATTTGTCAATTTCGCAACCAAAATCACGCGGGTTTGTTTTAGACCTTACGCGCCCATACATAAGGATCGCTTAAAATACAAATTTGGTAAACCCTGATGAAATCTACCAATGGTAGGGCATTCAATTTACTACAAGCAAATAGGCGGCAAGATATGTTTAAGTTCTCAATTTTATAAAACATTTAATTAACTTAAACTTAACAAACCAAATCAAATCAAATGAAATTTGACCTTCTGCCTCTTGTAGTCTGTAATGTAATGCTTAAGAATGGTGTTACATTCTTTTGAAGCTCATCTAAAAATGTCTAACATTGGATGTATTTACATGCACCGTTTGAATGTAAGAGAATTCTGGAACATTAGTAGAGAAACGTTTTGAATCATCCTCTTTTGTTAATGTGTTTTCTACTTCAAATGATGTGTCAATATATCATCATCAAGAAAATGGTAAGTTTATTGTTGAATTTATCACTTAAATGGCTGGCATTTAGACTGGTCTTTACTGATTTTGGCTGTGATTCAAAACAGAACGGGAATAAATTTGCTCTTTAAGGGCGCTATTGCCCATAGGAATATCTACAACCTGTCGATAAACTGTATTAAGGAAACGTACAAAAATATTGTTAGGGATAAAATTTGCAGCTTTAATCATCTCGTCATACTTCCAGTAAGTTTATGAGTAGCGAATGATACCAAAGGGACATTCATTAAGTTTATCTACCGGAATGAAACATGCATACTTTTCTTGGTATTATGTCTTATAATCGTGAATAATATGTTTGTATCTTTGATACTAAGGGCTTTTGGAAAAAGTTGCTGAACTTTCATTGTCCATTTCAAAATCATCACTAGTTTCTAAGACTAAAGACATTATAAGTTTATTAAAACATTTTATAGACATTTTTTTATGTTTTATTATGAAAGTTCTCCGTAACCCTATAGTTGTCTTTCGATATGTATACGTTTTTCGGTTGCAGTATAACTAGTGTATACCAATGAATTTCCTTTTACTCATATTATCATTTTTTTTTATATTTCACAATCATAGCTGTCTTTACAATATTTGTATTCATGCTCATGGTTGTGGTTTTAACTACTGAATTGACGACGAGACAGTACTCCTATGTAGTGATACGGTCATTGTCTATGATTTGACTATTTAAAACATTTTGAATTATTCGAAACTCTAAGAGTTTTTTTAACGCAACCATATCGATAGCGCTAGCAAAAACTGGCATAACATTTTCAAATTTTGAGTATACAACGTTCTTCAACTTAATTTTTGAATTGGTCTTTCAACTGTTTTAATTCGAGCGTCGACGATGAGACATGTGTAGATAAAATATGTGTCTGGTGTACTAATTTATAAGCTCTGTATCTTTTATGAATGATTTTGAGTTATTATTTGGTAATGCTGTTCGGAATTGATTTCTTTTGAATCGTTTTGAGGACCACTTATGAGTCTTAAAGCTTTTTACGTGTTCAACACACAATTGACAAATACCACTGCTAATGCCAACTTTTCGCATCAAGAATAACGCTGTCCAAGAACCAGAACATAGTTTAAGTAATGTCTTAGAAGAGAGGCGAAAGATAACATAAGGACATTCAAACTCATAAATCGAAAATAAACTCCATGGCTAAAAAAGAAAAAAACCATGAGACAAACATTAATGCACAAAACACAACATAGAAAACTAAACACTGAGCAGATGAACCCAACCAAAACTTTGGGGTGATCTCAAGTGCTCCGGAAGTGTAAGCAGATCCTGCTCCACATGTGGCACCTGTCGTGTTTCTCATGTTAGTACAAACCCGGATATGAGTCTAATTCAGTCGGTCACATTCGGTTAAAAGGGGACTGGATTGTAGTTACGACATTTGGAACATATCCGCTATCTTCTGTGAAACGGATATTCCAAAACCGTCAACCAACTCGTGATGGCGTCCGTAAAATTAACGAAGGAATGATTTCAACTTCACCACTTAGTTAATGTCATTTTCGTCATGGTTCTGCATTTTTATTCGTATCTAATTTCAACTTCACCACTTAGTTAATGTCATTTTTGTGATGGTTCTGTATTTTTATGCGTATCTAATTTCAACGTCAATACTAGTTAATGTCATTTTCGTCATGGTTCTGTATTTTTATTCGTATCTAATTTCAACGTCACCACTCAGTTAATGTCATTTTCGTCATGGTTCTGTATTTTTATTCGTATCTAATTTCAACGTCACCACTTAGTTAATGTCCTTTTCGTCATGGTTCTGTATTTTTATTCGTATCTAATTTCAACTTCACCACTTAGTTAATGTCAGTTTCGTCATGGTTCTGTATTTTTATTCGTATCTAATTTCAACGTCACCACTTAGTTAATGTAATTTTCGTTATGGTTCTGTATTTTTATTCGTATCTAATTTCAACGTCACCACTTAGTTAATTTCATTTTCGTCATGGTTCTGTATTTTTATTCGTATCTACTTTCAACTTCACCACCTAGTTAATGTCATTTTCGTCATGGTTCTGTATTTTTATTCGTATCTGTTATATAATGAAGCAAAATAACGATGAACATGAACTAATGGACAAATGACATACCATTATCTGTTTCGGTATAAGCGTCATGGAACAAATGTATAACTGTAAAGCGACGACAAAGTTGATAGTTTTTGTGTTTTGCTCACATGAATTTCACATTAATCTCACTTGAAGTTCACCTGAAACGAGCTTATATGTGAAACTCTCGTGAAAATTTCGATGTGAATTTCACGTGAGTTGTACCCGTAAAGGGTATTTTTCATAATTTTTGTTAGATATCAAAATTCAGATGTTATTTGAATTACTTTGTTTTGAAAATTCACGTGAACTTCATGTGAAAAATATTCATTTGAATTTCCCGTGAGATTACGTGAGTTTCAAATGAGATTTGCATGAAACTTAAGAGAAATCAGTTTACGTGATTTTCACATATAATTCCGTTGAAGGTGAATTTAAAGTGAGGGAGTCGCATATACTCCTTAAGGAGCGATACCAGGTGCTTCGATATGGTGAGCGTCTTCACATCCAATCTTTTATGTTAATATTCTTTACAAAGCACAAAAATGTCAGTATTCACCTCAAAAGCTAACAAAACCTTTAAACAGACTTATTAAGAAGGGATATAGTTACGATACTGTTGTCAGGTCATTAAAGATTGCATATTTTGGCTTTAATATTGATTCACTTATAGGGTCTTTCCATTGGAATTAAACATTTATTCTAAAACCAGTTGTTGGCATGACACGGGTTATGTTCTTCTCATATATTTTATGATGGTATAATACTAAACCCCTAACAGGAGGGATTATGCCTGATATTCATATGATGAAGACATAATCTTTCAATCAGTTTAATTGAGGTCTGGAGCTGGCATGTCAGTAACTGCTAGTAGTCTGTTGTTATTTATGTTATTGTCATTTTGTTTATTTTCTTTTGTTTCCTATTCTGACATCGGACTCGGACTTCTCTTAAACTTAGTACTGTTGTACGTTTGTTTTTTTTACATTGGCTAGAGGTATAGGGGGAGGGTTGAGATCTCAAAAAACATGTTTAACCCCGCCGCATTTTTGCGCCTGTCCCAAGTCAGGAGCCTCTGGCCTTTGTTAGTCTTGTATCATTTTCAATTTTAGTTTCTTGTGTATAATTTGGAGTTTAGTATGACGTCCATTATCACTGAACTAGTATACATATTTATTAAGGGGCCAGCTGAAGGACGCCTCCGGGTGCTGGAGTTTCTCGCTGCATTGAAGACCCATTGGTGGCCTTCGGCTGTTGTCTGCTCTATGGTCGGGTTGTTGTCTCTTTGACACATTCCCCATTTCCATTCTCAATTTTATGCATCACCCGCGATGGGAATTCACAGTCTGGCAAAATTTCACAATCGGGATTAGGACACAATCGATAAAATTGCACATCAAACAACTTTGTTGGTATCTGAGAACAAGAAAACATGTTGCTAGTGAACTCATACACTGACACATCGAATTTGTCAACCAGTTCGTGATGATGATCGTAAAACTTATTAAGCCATTTTTCCTCAGAACGCAGTTGGAGCAGTTTTGTTTGTGTAAGGAGCACTTGTTTTGTCATGAAGTCCGAATGGTGTGAATATGCACGAAAGTAACACAGATATGTTAACGCAATACGATGGATCATGAGGTTTGGAAGTGCTGAGAAATGAAAAATTGACAATTTGAGAGTTGAAATCAACATTAAAAGACTCTATTAAAACTTTGATTACATCATTAGACAATAAATAACTAAATATTTGGTGTCCATTAATTAAAGTGAGTGATCTCAGTGAGCTTGTTTGACGTTGAATGGACAGGTATACATATACTTTACAATTTGTATAAAATTGGAAATCAGGAAATGTGATAT